TGAAAACAGATCAACACCTCGCTTTTTAGATTGGAATAATTTAAGCTCGAGTCTTAAATATTATTTTCTTTTCTGCCCTGTTAAAGTCCTGCTGGGTAGGGGTGGGTGTGTATTAGCGAGGTGTGGCAGCGTGGGAATTTTAAGTCAGCTAAGCACGAAAAAAAATAATATTGCACTTACATTTAGTGCTTTAGTTGCTGCCAAGGGGTGAGCAAGCACCTGAGGGAGAAAGAAATTGGGAGTTGTTGTAAGGTGGGACTGCTAATCATCGTCTTTTCCTTCTTTGCTGTCTTGTGCATCCTGCCACACTGCCAATCCGGACTGTCCGCACGGTGTCTTCCTCCCTACTCTTATCCGTCTGGCACCGTGAGTATTGCTGAGCATCTCTGGACGAGTACCTCTCCATGGCAGAAAGGGAGTGAGGGAGGTTTGTGCCACCTGCCCGAGCAGAGCAAGTGCCTCTGCAGCATGCTGTCCCCATACTGCTCCTTGGTGCTGAGCCAAGGAGTGGGGTGAGGAGCCACAGCCTCTAAAATCAGCAAAAGCGCAGGCTGGCTTTCATAAGCGTAGACCAGACTTCATGTTTTGTAACGCCTAACTGGTGTGGATGGCAAATCTTAAGCTCTCATAACTATCTTAAGTTTGTCTGAGGTTATGGCTTGGCTGCTGTTGTGTAAGGTTTTGTGCATGTCTATGCAGGTACTCGAAGAAGAGGATACATGTGCAGGATATATAACCTCGGTAAATCTAAGAGGTCCAGGTGGACCCAGCAGATAGAGTCATTGCGGTCCCTCAGCGCTTTCTGAATCCAAGAAAGCCAAACCAGAAGCTGGTTGACAGTGAAAATATTTTATGAGAGTTTTGAGAACTAAGTACAAACCGTGCAGGAGAGTTGGGAAATGTATTCCTTAAACCTCATAGAAACACTTAAGAGGCTTGTGGATTCAGTAAAATACAGAATAAAATAACAGAAGTTAGACATTCTGTACTTAGGTAAAACGCTGCACTGTTGAGCCTGTTTTGCAACAGAGTTGCTCCGTAGTTTTGATGAAAAACAGTGCAAAATCATTGTAAAGAGAAACCTGCTAAGCCAACAACAGAAGCAGCAAAACAAAACCTGACTGATGGTCTCATAGATCTTTGCAATGCACCCCAGCCCCTGAAAAAACAATCACTGAAATCTTTAAATAAACTTCTTGTAATTTTCACTTAATTCTTCCTGGGTTTTTTCTTTGAAACTTGTGACTTGGTCTCCTTTACAAATTAAATATATTTTGTGTATAAATCTGATTTTTTTTTAATACTCACTTTTTCTCTTTTTGAGTAAGTTTCATTCTGCTTTGTTCCTGCATCTTCCTTCTTTGTGCACATGAACTTTCCCAGTGTTCACATTCACATTCACTGTATGAATGAAATGTTGAAGTAATTTTCCGTATTATTTTAATGCAAGTTTGCACCACTATTAGTGGTAGAGTGAGACAGATTTCTCTTAGACTGAGGTGATAACTGGGAAACTTGTTATATCTCTGAAGATTCATTGTATTACTTTCTCAATCTTAGTTCTTTGATGAAAATATAGTAAGTTTCTCACAGTATCTTCCTTACAGTCACACAAATGTACACACTTACAACTCCTAAAGACAATGACACAGAACATTTTAAAGAGCTCAGATCAGTATCTTAAAAGGGTTTACTGTCCTCTCTCTTTTTTTTTTTTTCCCCCTGCCTTTTTTCTGATGCAGGAAATGAGAAACTGGGATGATTTACAGAAGAACCGTCAATGTGTTCATCATGATCTGCATTGTTCCTCATGGAGGTTCAAGGGCCGGAGTACAGCTGTGCTTCATTTGTGAAGGATGACTGGGTCAGAGAGAGCCACTTGCTACTTCTGTTACTGTTACAAAGAATGGGGTGTTTAGGTGATACTACTGTTTAGGCTCTTTCTTTTTAAAGCTAAGTAGAATGCAGGAATAACCACATGCACAAATACAGGATAGGGAGTAGCTAGAGAGGTAAAATATTTGCAGGAAAAAAGATCTGGTCTTTATGGTGGATTATAAAAGGAGCTCGATAAAGTCTACTCCTATGAAAAAAAGTCAGACTTCTTTCTGGCATGAATAACCAGAAGTAGAGCCTCCAGAATGTGTGTGTTGGACTAGTGTGTCCGTTGTGCAGAAAAAGACACAGACCGCTGGAGCAGAATTCACAGGAGAGTGGCAGGACCTGAGGAGAACAAGTGAACAATTTGGCCTTATTCTAGAGAAGGAGTAGGGCAGAAATCTTAATATTTATAAAAGGCCGTTCCATGAAGGAAAGGAATATCTTCTTGAGTGTAAACTGTTATAAAGAAGATTTAGGCTAGAAAATACACAATATTTTCTAGCAGCCTGGCAAAGCTAACATACTGGATATTTTTGGACGTTGGTTCTGTTGAACTTGATTTTCAGGACTATGAAACTAAAAACTTTCCGTTTTCACTTTAACGCACCGTTACGTTCAAGGACATGTTTCTTTACAGATCAGGAAGTATCTCGTGACATCAAAACATCAGTGTTGCACAATTGCAGTGTGATATTTCTTTGTTTAGCATCATAAATTACGCGGTGCATTTCTTCTAGATCAAGAATGGATGTTAGCATTTCTGACGATGTGGAAGAGGAGATATCCAATATGGAATTTATTTATATTTCTGCATAGTCAGGAAAATTGTGTATCCTCTTGTTTCTGTGGTGTATAGATGCACTGCTAATACAGTCCGTGGAAACTGTGATATAGCTGAGAGAAGGTGAAGTGGTTGCTTTAGTCATGTTTGAATGCAGTCAGAGCTCATGGTGTAAATGAGATTTGGGCCTTCTTCAGTTATTTTTACCCAAAAGGGTGGATGGAAGGAGTTCCCTGTAGGGTCAGCATTTTAAACCATTCCTGTAGTGTCTGCCTATCACAGAAAATCAATAGTAACTGCATACTACCTGTATAGTCATGTGTGGTATCTGGTACTTACTTTTCAGAGTCAAAATCCTACTAGGATTAAGTTGAAATTCATATTTCTTTGGGGTATTATGAGTGTGGATTGAGGGGAGTCTTGGGGGAGTTTTCTCCTTGAAGATCAAATTTTAGAAACGAAAGGGGTTGTCAGAGATGGGAATGCAACAAATACTTGATTGCCACATCTCTGAAAGCTGTGATTAACACAGTATATCAGAAATAAAATAGCTATTTTGTGTAGCAATGCCAGAGAAAATACACAATTTTGTGTGTTGCTCTGAAAATGTCTTTATGTCTCGGTGGTTTTCTTTCTTCCCCCTGCCACCCCCTTGGCAGATCTTGTGAAATTAGAAGGGCTCCTGTTGACATCATTGGCTGCTTGGTACTTGGGATACTTACTCGCCGCTCTTGTTCCCAAAGAGATAATAACAACATCTATTGCTAATCTTGGAGACATTGAAAAGAAACCAGTGTTGAGGGCTGTGTAGTTGTACTTCTTTTTTTTTTCCCTCATACTATATCTAATGTTGTATTTACATGCTAAATGACAAATGGCTTGTTAGCTAATAAATGATTTGATATGTGCTATTGTAAGAATGAAGGTGGCTGTGTAAAGTTAATTAGGGCAAGTCTGAACTATTTCTCAGACACTATCTTTGAAGAAACACAATGTCAGCCTATATTGGCCAGTATGCAAATATAACTAATTGAAGAGCAATGTAAGAAAACCTTATTTGTTTGCTGGCATATAAGAACAAAGCTGCAGCTTGGTTCTGTCACATGGATTTTACAGTTATGGGAAACTGTTGAATCACTAACCAAATTTTGTGATTAAATTCTCATTATTTCTTTCCTCTAATCTGACGGGGGGGCTTAATGTGTACTTTTTTCTCATTCTATGACTATGTTATCATGCACAAAAGACTTAAAATGAGAATGATAGCCATTAACTTCAACGTATTGGTAGGAATCCTCCATCCCTCTAGCCCTTGTTTCCTGTTACGTGAAACAGCACAAAGTAATTACTCTAGATTCAAATCAGATCATACTATATGGGGCATTCTACCCTACATAAGCTTGCTCTTAGTCCCGGTAGCTGTCTGAAAGTCAATGATAACTTAAAGCCCAGGCAAATCTATGATAATGTTGCCATGATACTCGAAAACTGGCAGGATTGGCTTCTGTGTATATGTTTAAACTTAGCATGTTAACATGAAGTGATTCTTTCCATGTAGAAATTGTTTATGCAGCATCCGAGAAAACATTTTCTCATCTTTGTTGTAGCCCCAGTCCCAAAAAGGCAGAAGTGTGATCACTGAGGTACCTGCTTACCTGGGAACTACGCTTATCAGATTCTTAGTGGTAGTGGCAAAGGAAAACTGGCTAAAATTTGTTTTGAGGATGAGCTGTGAGTACTAGTCTAACTTTAAATCTATGCAAGTGCTTCGTAGTGTGAAGGGTGTTTCATTTTGGTTCAGTAGCAGCAAGTAAGCTCCTACCAGGGGGCAGCTATTCTGGTGATAAACTTTAGAATATATCTGAGAGTATTTAAATCTTTTTTTCTCCCCCCCCCCTTTTTTTTTTAAATACATAAACTCAGGTTATTTTCTTTGTACCTCTACATAAGACACATTCAACTGTTATTTTCAAGTATGATTTTTAATTTTCGTGGTGCAGCATAGCCAGTTTACAGCATGTTGAATGGTCAACACCTTCTGAAAGTCAGGTTCTTTCACGGCTTTTCAAACTGAACAGGTAAAGTGGCTTCAAAACCTTGAAATGATCTTTTGTGTAGGTATAGTCCACAGAGAATACTGCCACAAAACCACATTTTATCTTTTTGTTGTTGTTGTTATTACTTTATCTTTCTGGTTGCATTTGTATGAAGTACTTTTTTTGGTCTGGCTCATTTTGAAAGACTCTGTGCATCGTTGAAGGAAACTGATACAATGTGCAAGATTTTTAAGCCATAGCTCTTGTTTACTACAAAGTCCTGAATTAAATAACCAAAGAAAACATGAACATCAGAAAGTGACTTAGCATTAGTAAATATAATTTTGGATCAGAGCTTCTGGATGGATGCTTTCTACTGATACTGTATTTATTTTGATTCCAGGCTTTTAAGCGAAGAGAAGGGTAATGTTGGAAGAGGTATAAATATTGCCACTGTGAGTTGTAAGTAAGAGAAAAAATGTTACAGAGAGACATACTTTTGTACTGCAATAATTTACAAAGGTTCTTGGAGGGATTGGGGTTTTTTTTGCCTGATTGGTTTGGTTTGGGGTTTTTTACTAGCTAACATGGAAAGAGAGGGAAAGGAAAAAATTGCAAACTTGATTCATGTTGGTTGGTTTGGTTTTAGGTTTTTTACTAGCTAATATGGAAAGAAAGTGAAAGGAAAAAATTGCAAACTTGATTCATGTTAAACGTAAGAAAAACAAATCTCTGTTTGAGAGAAACAGTCTCTGGATAAACAAAAGAGACATGTTCATAATCAGTATAAGAAAAGAGAAAATGTGTATATAGAAGCGGTATATGTGTATTTTATTAGATAAAAGAACTGCTTCTTATCCGGATAAACTGTTCATAATCAGTATAAGAAAACAGAAATGTGTATATAGAAGCGGTATATGTATATTTTATTAGATAAAAGAACTGCTTCTTATGTAACATAGCAAAAATATCCATGATCTCCAGCAGCAAGACTCAACTTTCAGGTTCAGTCCTTGATAAAAGATACCTGCTGCTCCACTGACAAAGGGTGAGCAGTAACTGAGAACTGCAGTTCTGCCCCAAGGTACGACCAAGGTACAAATTCCTTTTCCAGACTTGGTCAGTGGACAGAAAGACAAAATCAAAGTTTGATTAATATTAAACTGCCATTATACGTCTTTGCTCATAGTAGGAGCTATTGGAAAGCAGAAGGTGCAGTTTATTCCAGAACTGGAGGCACCATTTTAATTTAGATGAATGGGAATAGTGATGAAGTATTCAATAATGGATCCTGAGAGAAATGAATGCCTAAATGTTGTAGGGAGGGGAAGAAAGGAAGTTCAGATGCACAGTCAAATTGGCTTTGATCACAAACCACTTATGTTCCAGTTTTTTTTGTCCCAGTATTGCTAAGCAAGACCTTGACCTTCTCTAAACTTGCATGGTTTTATTGAAGTCACTGGGTTAAATTACCATAGACAAGAATCAGTTCTGAATTTTTTTTTCCCCAGTTAACTACTGCTTTTTTTTTTTTTTCCCTTAATAAGGAATCATAAAAACTTTGCTGGTTATAGTAGGTAAACAGTTAAAGATGAGTTTTCAGCATAGAGCTGTAGAGTAAGAGTGCAAATACTCATCCTGAATGCATAAGGAAGGTTACAGCAAATAGGAACAGGGAACTAGCATTGTCTCTGCTTCTGACGTTAGTGAGGAAAAAGAAGTGATATATCAAATTTTACACATTTTTAAACAGCCATTTCCTTCATCACACATACAGTCATTTAGCCACACTTTCCATCTGCAGGTAAATCTGTCCATTATCTCAAATTTGTAATGAGATGTATTTTCTACATGTCCTCTAATTACATCAGTCAAGCTAATGACTGTGCTTAGTAAGTTTCCTATGGCATCACACTTGTATTTTATTCCACAATGGTAACTCTTTCTTCTCTGAATGAATATGCTCTTTTGTAAGAAGGAAGACAGAACTATTAAGTCCAACCTAACAACACAATGGGAGAGAGAGAGAATTTTGTGGACTTCTGTAGTCCTCACTACAGACTTCTCCATTTTTTTATGATCTACAGTTCTAGAATGTTGTTTTACCACTGGCAGACTTTTGCCATCTTTTCCCCTCATCAGCGTGATAAACTGCCATTTAGAATCCTATGTTCAGAAAAATTTGCCTTCATGATTTTACCATGTATGGATTAAAGATAAACCAGAAATTAATCAGGAACTGCTGGATCTTCTCACTAGAAAGGAGCTGAATGGAAAAGACTCCCTCATGTAGCAGGGATATGGGTCTTGGATAACAAATATCAATTAACTCAGTTGGCGTGGATTTAGAAATTTGAAAAGTATTTCCAGCTATGCATGTCGTGTTTAAACAAAGATAGCCATCTAAACAGCAGCACAATTAATGATGAATATTGACCAAAAATGTTCTGGAATGACTAATTGTTCGCCTGCCCAATTTCTGATATGGTAATGATGGGTGTTGAGTTTCTGTCCACTGAGATTCAAGTGCCATGAAAGCTTGCACATCTGAAACACTGCACACAATAGTATTAAGCTCATTCAAATAGTGTCAGGCTTAACTAATGTTCCTATTTATGGTTGTGATTTAGTATAGTAGGTATAGATGCAAAAATATGGAAGCACACAGTAAACCAAATTCCTTCTTTACAATAAAAAGTAATAAAAATGTTTTATTCACATTTGATGATTCAGAGGCTACATGAAACAAAATATTCTCCCCAAATCTTAAACTTACGTTATTCTATATTCCTTCCAATTTTAAAACTTAAACAAAGGTAAACTCAGAAGCCCAATAATACACAAAATTAGAGATGCCTAGCTTTAGCTGAAATTGTTGTATATGCTGATTGAATTTAGTCATTGTTGCTTACATTTACACAAGTTTTTGTTTTGTTTTGGTTTTTTTAATTACAGATAAAACAATAGGGTTTTTTTAGTTGAATTCATGATATGGTAATTATACAGGGAAAGACTTAATCATTCGGTTGATAAACATTTGATACTCTTGTTCTTATTTAAGAAGGGTTGGAACATCAAACAGTATTTCAGATACATTTTTCTTTCTGCTATGCTGTTACAAACAGTTTGTATTAACATCAGGAAGGTAGAGAGGAGGAAGAAAAAATTTTACCCTGTGAGTTTAATGGCATGCTACTAAGACTGCTCTCAGGATTTTTTTAAACTTCTTATTTTTGCTTCTGCTGACTTACTAATGTAAAGCATGAATCAGCTGTGTTCTTTTTCAGCATTTTTCACATCCTGAATTTTTAACACTTTTTTTCACTACATTTTCTTAGGTTGAAAAAAATGACACCCAAAAATTAGTTAGAAGAGCTGGGATGTAAAGAAATATGGAGTATGAAGTTCAGGTCAACCTGGGCTTTTATAGCTGCCAAAGGCTTCAAGCTGCCAGATAATATCCAAAAAGAAAAGGTCAGGTTCATTTTATTTTCACTTTATATTTATCTGTATATCAGGTATAACCTTCAGGTGCAGATTTCATATGTTAGCTGTAATAACTGTAGTCTGTTCAGTAAGCCTCCGTCGCACGAAGTAAGTTCTCTAATGTGTCATCATTCTTTGCGTTGGGTCTGGGTGATGTACAGTACTGACTTTTACTACACCAGCACTAGAACATCTGTAGACAAATTTCAGTAAGTGACCAGGGATTTTAGAGAGTCTCAGTTTTGAAATGTCCAACCTGACATGCAGTACAGAAACTTACATTTTCTTCTGGGAGGACAAATTTCAAGGACTTCCTAAAAATAAATACTGTTTTTATATGAAGATTGGGCTGTCTCAGATTGGCTGTGCAAATACAGCAACACTTGCATCACAAAACTTTTCTGGATAACTTGCCCTCAGGTTTCAGGAGGACTAAAGATACCATTTGTCTATCAGATTTCTGTTTGCATCTGTGACCTTGTTGTATTTGCTTTCTATAAGCAGCAGTGCTCATCTGTATGACAGGGGCAGACAGAAATGAGAAAACCCAACACAGAGGCCAGCTCCCTTGATGATACTGACTCTCCAAAAGCATGTGAAACTTCCATAGTTGTTTTTTTTTTCCCCAGAATATTGTTGCCATCTTCTTCACATTACAGAGCTTCTGCAAGAGAAAGAAACTCAATTTAGTGTATATTATGACAGCCATTTGGGAAATAAATAAAGCACTCCATGTAAGAGAGAAACTGATGGAATGTTCACCCATTATGTTGAGCAAGATACGCAATGTGCTGCTTGGCTTCCCGGTCCTACCCCATTACCCCCTTCTGTTGTATGAATTTTGACAAGCCAGTTTGTAAATGGAAAACCAAATATTGACTTTTTTTGTTTCTTTTTTTATTTTTTTAACAGATAAACCACTCTGACAAGAAGAAGAACAGATCTGGTGGCTGGCCAGCTGAAATCCAAATAGAAAGCTATATCCCAAGAAACCTGATCTGAACAAATGCATGCCTCATTAATAAAGGTGATTATATATTTTTATAGCTATGACTCTGGTTAATTGCCTCCAGAACCCAGAAAGCATCTGAACACTAATTGTAAAATAAATCATGTGCACAGTTCTTAACCTTTCTTTCTTCTGTGAAGTTTTACTCTAATCTGAAAACAAATAGGTATTTTGATGACAAGTGGAAATAAAGTACTCTGGTTTGGAATTACAATGTTCAGGTAGTCAGTCATAAAATACCAGGATTTTTGAAAGTGAGTATACATTGTCATTAGTAATTTTAGGGTTTGGGGGGGGGGTTTGTTAGTTTTTAGTATATGGGGGGCTTTTTGTTCCCTTTAAAGACTAATATGCAAATAGAACTCAGTCGTAATTGTAATATAAAATCACTAGCAATAAAGCAAATTATTTTGATGTTAGTTTATTAGTAACGTTGCTTCTCTTCAGAAAAAGTATGGAAATGGCAGTTACACTTGTCGAGCTGGTTTTAGTGCTGTTGACAACATGGAATAGCAATGTTAGCATGTAAAGATCAAGGTACTTGAATTATTTTACCAAATCTAAGCTGCAATTCTGCATGGTTTGTTTTAATTATTTTTTTCTTCTTGTAAGTTTAACTGACTTTAAAAAAATGTAGTGACTTTATGCAAGCTTAAGTGTTGTTCATGCTAACTGTAGAATCAAACACATAATTGTAAGGAAACTGTAGAAGCCATTTATTCAATTTACCTTTTTCTGAAGCACATCAAATATATCTGGACCTGTCTTAACTGGTCTTTGTCCCCATGTTGTTTAGAAGCCTCCCATATGGCAGATTTCACAGCCTAAGTTGCTTCCCATAGCATTTCACTATTATTCTAGTTATTCCCCAAACATACTGAATTAACCTAAAAGGACCAAGCCAACTACTGAGGGAATAACTCATTCTTTTTATGGCAGTCTATTACGTATCTGAAGACTGTCCTCATCAACTCTCTCGCCTGGTATATTTTAATCTTTCTTTAAGTTTTTCTCAACATTAAAACATTCATTTAGCAGCAACTTTCTTAACGTGCCGTGCTTCAAATGGGTCGCAGCACTCCATGCATCTACTTAGAAGTGTCCCACACTCCAGCCTTTGGGCAGGAGACAATCAGCAGTGGTGACCTGAGAGGGTGGCTGCCGACAGCCAGATTCAGTCTGCTCTTCCTCTCCCTTGCCTGACTGAAGCCCTCTCAGCGGTGCTTCAAATCTCTACCCTTGTTGCAGCTCCCACCACCTACTTGTAGTCACAACTGTGTTCCCAGCAGCTTTCTGGTATCCCGTTCCCCCACCCCAAAGCTACACTTCCTGCTATCGGTTTGCGAACTGCTCCAAAGACATGGCCAAAGAAAGCAGTTATATTAGTTTGACTCAATTTGACTTCAGCAGACTCACAATGGTTGCTCCTTATCAGCTTGCTCCGATGAGGTGGTTACAAATGGAGTACTTAAATAGCTGTTTCAACATTTTTCCACATCTATGTCATTCTTCTTTTCTTCTTTTGACTTGTTTATCCTACAAGTTGTGTAGGTCAGGGGGCTCGCTTTGGTGTTTTACACAGCTAACAGTAAATGCATGTGAACTGTTGTAACACATGCTGAACTTGGCCTCCTTCTTGAAACCTGGGGATTTGTGTGGAATACCCAAGGTTTCCTAGCAGTTGCAGGCTACTTTGCAGTTAAGAAAACTTCTCTGCATCTGCTGCTGTTCCTTACACATGTGTTTTTGCAAGAGAGGGGAGCTCTCGTAGGCGTCTGTCTTCTGCATGAGCCTGTGGTGGGACATGGCTTCTGTGAAGATGCTTCAGTGTTTATTCCTTGGGAAGTTTGAAGCAGTGGGTTCCAGGAATGTGCTTCTAGGGATGTTATAGCATTGCAGCCAAATGAAACCTCTCCTGTGCTCTGGATAAAGTGACCTAACCAATTGTACTTCAGCATTCCCATCATCCAGATCAATGCCAAGACGTATGGCTTGTGTATGTTCATTTTCTTAAGTGTACAGTTTCCTGTCACCAATAATTTATTCAGGCAATGTTCATGTTACTGGCAGAACATTTATTCCTTTACATTGTAATCACCCTTTGTTATATACCTGATTTATAAAAATAACATAATTTCAGTTCTAACAGTCGGCAGTCCTCAGAGTGCCAAGCTCTGAGACAGTCCTCAAGCTCTGTGCGGTCTGACAGTCACTGCCTTCCACCCCAGGCCACAATTAATCAACGACAAAGAACTTTTACATCGATTTCTGTTTAGCAGTTACCACGAAGTGTGCAAGTACTCCAGTCTCTGCACATACTCCACATTCTTTACATTTGCTCTGTTCTTCACACTCCATGCAAGTATTCCATTCTTTACAAATGGTCAACAGTAAAAGGTGCATACCCGTAATCTCAATCAAACCACCTGAGAACCTTTCACAGCACAGGTCCCTGCAAAATGTTCTGTAACTCCATTGTATTTTCACTTTTTCAGAGATGCCGTTGAGTCATCTAGACAAGAGCGTTAATAATCTGCAGTGCTGAATAGCTATCATCAGCTTTATTTTTCTTTGCTCATGCCCCAATGTTTAAATATGGTAGGCAAAGGAGCCTCAAGTACTTTGATAACGCTCCGATCTTAAGAAATCATGGAAAAGTGGCCACTTGAACAAAAAAGGTTCCACTTTTTCAATCACTTTTCAGATTAGAAGCAATCTTACAGAGCGTTGATTTGAAAGTGGGATTTTGACTTTAAGCACACAACTTGAACACTTTCAAATGAACTGCCTTCTAAGGAGGAAGGAAAACCTTTTTAATGGAACTGTGATTCTGAAAAATTAATCTGGGGAAATGTTAGATAGCTTTAAATTTAAAAATAGTCAAAAGATCATGAAGTTACACATTGATTTGGGGGTGAGGCCATAGGGTGCAGGATCCCTAATGCAGATCTCCTTCCTTACCTTCTCTGTCCTGTGCTGTAGACCACAGGAAAACTCCAGCGGTGGAGGTCCATGCGGCCGATGCCTGGGGACACTGTCAACCACAAGCAGGGTGTAGGAAGTGATTTGCTGCTCTCTCCAGGGCCGGGTAGGTGCTGCGGTCTTCACCATGTCTTGTGAAATACTTCCAGACGGTAAGTACAGCACGTGGGATCACCACCACAAAATAAGGTTAAAACCTGCAGTGCAGTTAATCTTTTTCCAACCCTAGTAGGTAAATCCAATGGGAAAACATGAGCTTTAGGCAGGAGCGTTACTGAGGGCTTGGGTTTGTGTATTTTAAAGCAAAATATCACAGGAGGTGACAGCAGTGTCCTTCCAGATCCTCTGCATCTGTTGGTAGAAGTACCCAACCTCTCTGCGGTTACCTGTCCCAGACAGACACTGGAAGCCATGGACACGGGTGGAGGTCACCCTGCCTTACACTCATGGCCGGGAGGGAAGCCAGCAGCTTTGCCTCTAACGTGCCAGACCTTCCTTTCTTGTGCTTTGCTGGTGTCAGGCTCCCATTCCAAATATCCCTACCAGTGCCAGGCTGCTGGTCAGCATTCCTCACAAGAAGGTCCCTCGTACCCCCTGACCATTTATGTAGGCAGTTTTAGATAGAAGCGATTAGAAAAAGTAGCTATCATTCCCATTTTTCCCTCCAGTGTGACCCTGACAACCAACCCGCTAAAGAACAAAGTATCTGGACAGAGGCCCTTTTTTATCTCTCCATTTAAGAGAATGAGAAGTGTTTCAGGGTCTTGACATGTCTCTCAAAAATCCCTGGATCCCTGGCAGACCAATTTGATAGCAGCGGTAGGAAATATTGATCAAATAACGTAACATTTTCAGTTTCTCAGTGCTAACTGTTTCTTTAGGTTCTTTGTGTAATGTTATCTACCTCAAAGTGGGAAGTTACCACTATATTTAAAAGAAAAATACAAGAAAGGAAAAGTTCTTCAGTGACAGATGCCCTTTCACAGACAGGCTGTGCTTAAAGCAAAACTCCCACTGACTGCAATCCACTCAGAAGAGCAAAGAGAAGCTGATGCTTTTACTTACACATAATGCCTGGTGGGAAGTAATACATGAGTGTCATTTCTCTGATCTCTTCTTAGCTGCAGGTGAAATGCTGAACGATGACTAGAATTCAGGGGATTAAGATGGATGTTTTTAATAATGTTTGAGCAATAGCAGTTCCTCATTTCCTGAGACACTGAAGTTTTGATTTCACTTCTCTGGTCCAGGGGAGATTTTCAGCAGCATAGGAAATGTTGATTTTCCCCCTTCAGATACAAACTTTACACTAGCAGCTCTAACATGACTTTTTCCCTCTTCTAAAGATGAAAGCATAGAGATAGATGCTTTAGCCTGTCCCAGTCTCCATTGCAAGTCTCATTAAAAATTTTTTTAAAAAAATTAATAGTTATGTTTCAGCCAAAAGCAATACACATTTCAACCTTGTGCTTCTCTTATAAATCTTATGTGGTTATGTGTTATATAGCTGCTTTCTGTCTTCTGAGCATTCTCTACCAGAGTTCTTGGGAATGAGACTGAACTTCTACCTTCTCTCCCAGGGCCAGGAGGTCTGTGAGAACCTGGACTTGGAAAAGAGGAAAGAGATCTCGAAGTAAGACTTTCCAAAGGGTTATTAGTGCTTTGAGGTCACATCTGACTACAAATTCCAGTTTTGCTCCCACCCTGGTTCACTGAATAGCACTGTGCTACCTGGTCAGATTTTATTGCCTGCAAAGACTGGAAGAGGCAGCATTAGACCTTGAGTATCTCTGGATTTTGCAGCCAGAACAGAAAACACCAGTTTCTGATTTTTCTGCTGATAACTTACAAGGTAGAACTGGAGCCCAGTAGTGAAGTTCCACTGTCTGTGAGACTTGTGTCCATCACAGTGGTCTGCACCTCTGGATGTTTAGTTAATTGCTGAAGTCTCTACCTGCCACGATTCCACTCACCAGCTGAGAAGGCATTCCTTGTCACGGATGAACAGGAG